GCGGTGATGATGTCGCGGCTTTAGCGACGCGATTTTATCACCGCTATTTTGACGAGCACGGTTTTGTCGTGCCACGGTGGGGAAGGATGTGTGCAGATAATCCTCGGCTTGCAACCACAACTGGGTCCAAAATTTTCATTGTTAAGCAAGGCAGTTATTAAGTGAGTTTTGCCCCAATTTATTGTGGGAAGTTAGCACCCACCCTTCTCCTGGGAAAATGAAATATTGTAGGAAAAATTAAAAGGACAGAATATTTCCCCTAAAACAATTTCCCCAATAGACCATTAAGGCCTGGACCAGTCTATGCTGCATAACAAAGATCTACCTCCTTCAGGCAGAGCCATGGGAGGAATTGCCCAATGCCCTTTCATTACATCATCAACCAGCAAGGCTCAACCAAGCCTGGGACACAGAAAACCTACAAAATTATCCCTGCGTGGCCTCAGGGGAGTCTGACAACCAATCAGAATACAAGTTCAAATTCAAAAGCCCAGAGAGGGCATAAAGCCCAGGGACTCTCCGCATCTCTGCCCTTTTTTCCTTCGCCCAGCATCTTCAAGGTGTGTGATCTTGTTCATCAATAAACCTTCTTTCCAAGCCACCTCCATGTTTCCAACATCTTTTTTCCCACTTGGAACTGAAACCCAGGTGAACATTTCTTCCAACCGTATATCCTTTTTTTGCCACAGTGGTTACGTAAATCACCACAATGGTTTAAATTAGTAACAAGGTTGTTAAATGACACTGACTTCCCCATTGACTTTGCTTGTCAGCAGCGTACAAAATGCCCTGACCTTGGGACATTGCAAATATCATAAATATGTGCCAGTTGCCAATCGCCTGAACTTTGGCCAGATGACTATAGCAATCCACAATGGTCACAAGTCGCTTTTTTAAGTGTTGTAATTTTGAATGGACACTAAATGAATGGTTGTAGGTCCAGGATTACCTGTACTCTCGCCCGACTCTGAAAATACAAAGGCCACTGTATACTGTAGAAAGTTATCACCCAGCCCTCTCCCAGAAAAATGAAATACCATAGGAAATATTGAAAAGGCAGAATATTACATTTCCTTGGATATGAAAAGGGAGAATCATGTTTTAAAGACAAAGTAGCTCCCTGCAGCTTCCTGCCTCCACCCACTTTGTCAATGGGCCATTAAGANTGGACAGTCACGTGACTCAAATGGTTATATGGCTTCCTGCCAGAGCAGGAGGTTGGGCTATAAGACCTCCGAGGTCCCTTCCAACTCTGTTATTCTGTTAAGAGTACCTAAAGTGACAAAGGAAGACTTAAAGCCAAAACCAGCCACGGGTGTTTTGCAAGAAAGGGTCTCCCCCTCTCATCCCACGCGGGCAGGCCGGGGCTTCAGGTGGGTCGCAGCCCCCGCCTCAGCCGGTGACAAGGAGCGCAACGGAGCAGCAGCAGCAGCCGTGGCCCGCCGTTCCGGGGCGACTACGCACCGTGTATTCCCGCACTTGGCTGTGGAAGTTCTGCTCGCGGATGGTCACTTCGTCCGCGTCCATCCTGTCATAGCACTCGCCGGGCAGCCCCCTCCAGCAATGGCCGCTGCTGCTGCCCCCGCGCCTCCTGTCTCTCAGGCGGGAAGCGAGGGACCATGGCCGGTGGGCAACGCCTGGCGATCGGGACCCTCTTCAGGTCGGGAAGCTCGGGCCCAACACGCCACCCGCGGCGGCGACAACGACAACAACAACAACCACCGCGGTATAGGCGTCCCGACGCCGCCCCGCCCCGCCCCGCCCCCTCCCTCGCGCGGGGCGTGCCAGTCCGCCCTGCTGCGGCGGGGAGTGAGAGCGCTGAGGAGAGCGGCCTCACGGGAGAAGTGCGCCTGCGCAGACATTGACAAGCGGTAGGGGCGCCAGCGGCTCGTGGGCTGGTCAGGCTCGAAGTGGGAGGAATCGCTGTTCATGGTGGGAGGGGGCTGATCATCGCCGAGGACCAATAGTAAGGAAGGAGGCGGAGCTTCGGTGCTCGGCGGGGAGCTGAAAGTAGGCGCTCTTTTTTTTCAAAAAAATGTTTTAAGGATGCAGATAATACTGAGGGATTATTATAAATAATCAAATACAGACAAGAAAAGATCAGACCTAGAAGCATGCACATCTTTTATTACGCAATGTAGCTAATTTCCTGTTCTTCCCTTTGTAACGTCATTCTTAAAAATCTTAGTAAAATTATCAGGGGTTTTATTACTTCACTAGGACACTTAGTCCTAGGTATGTTCTATATTAAATTTATAAAAGGCGAAGTTTTTGTCACCTTCCAGAGGCGGTTGAATTAACTTCACCCATAACCCCAGCACTCTTAAAGTGGGATTCTGGCGATGGTAAATATACAAATATTTGTTGGAAGTGCAAGAAAGAGGTTGGAACATATAAGCATATGTTGCAGGATAGTGCACAAAAAATATGGGACATAGTGTTTACAGAAATTAGTGCACTGCTGAATGTAAATTTAGATGTGTCACCAAGGTTTGCATTACTGTTGCTGATGGAAAAACAGGATATAAATGGAACCAAAAAGGAATTGATTGTAAATTTGATAATGGCAGCTGCATTTGTGATGGCTAAATATTGGGGACGAAATTGGGATATTCCAAAAAATGAGTGGTATAANTATATTAGCACCAATTGGAAACCTAAAGACTGTTATTCTGAGCTGAAAAGGACCTGGTTAAACCTGGAAGAGGAAAATTTGAATTTTGAATTTACTTTATTTGTATGCCGCCCTTTTCCCTGAAAGGGACTCAGGGCGGCTCACAATTCAAGGGAGGGGAAAACAAAATGAGCCAAGTAAGAAGATTGGACTCTTAAAAAAAGTACCAGAGGGGTGTCAGATTAAAAACACAGCCCAAGTTTATTTTCTATTGTACAGAATATACCATAGTTTCTGATGATGTTACATAGTTGGGTTATGAAATGTCTGCAAGAAAACAACCAAACTCAGAGGCCAAGAACCCACAGCCCTCCTCCTCCTCCACCACCTCCTCCTACCACTGATGTTGTTACCTAGTTGGGTCATGAAATGTCTGCAAGAAAACAACCAAAACTCAGAGGCCAAGAACCCACAGCCCTCCTCCACCTCCTCCACCTCCTCCTACCACTGATGTTGTTACCTAGTTGGGTTATGAAATGTCTGCAAGAAAACAACCAAAAGTCAGAGGCCAAGAACCACAGCCCTCCTCCTCCTCCTCCTAGCACTGATGTTGTTACCTAGTTGGGTAATGAAATGTCTGCAAGAAAACAAGCAAGCTCAGAGAGCACCAAGGAGTCTCCAGTTCTCCTCCTCCTCGCCGCGGTTTTGTCGCCGCGGTTTTGTCGCCGCCCATTTGCCGGGCGCGCATTTGTCTGTGAACCATATGGGCATGCCAGGTGCTTTGACATCACACACACACACACACACACACACACAGACACACACATTCCGATTTGGGGAAGAAGACAAAATAACCTGAACTTGGCCAACTGTATCTTCTTCTTCTTCTTCTCTTTCACGAAGAGAAGCCACCAGCTCTTCCTTCTTCTCCATCAGCTGCCGGACGGAGGAC